AGAGAGAGAGAGAGAGAGAGAGAGAGAGAGAGAGAGAGAGAGAGAGAGAGAGAGAGAGAGAGAGTTTTTCTTCTTCTTCTTCTCAGTCCACTATCTCTTTTCTCCCTCTCACTTCTGACTTCACTGCATCTGCAGACTATGAGAGAAGAGATACAAAGCTTGGTGACATTTGATTCAGACTCGACTTTCGGGGGCTCAGACATGGCAACGAGGGACTATTTGGGATTGGTGACCAAGACTTGGTGTTAACGACATTCCCATCTTCCTCCCTCCTTTCGTCTGATTCTTATCTCTTCGTCTGTGTATGTCTGGACCTGGCGCTTTCTTCCTGTGTGCAGTGCAAGGCTCCTTCACACTCGGTGATGGATACAATGCATGTTTAGTATGAGTTCAACATTGGTTGGGCTAGTTAGTAGCACTCTAGCATTCTGCTTCGTTACTCCGAACTACATGGATGAGGTCAGTCCTGTCAGGTTAGTCTTTGTATCAAAGTCTTCCCTGCGCTCTTCAGCATCTTTATGTATGAATGAGAATGTACATTGCTTGTCGAGATTCTACTCGTACCGCATTGTCTATTYAGTCCTTTTCATCACATTGCAGATTCTCGGTTTATTACGTACATTGCATATCTGTGCATGTAACATTATGCAAGGACACCTCTATCCAGAGGCTTCCGGAGCTCAACACCGGCTCCCCTCACGAGTCACCACATACAATTCCCAGCAATCATAATGTTTGCCGATGATCTTAAAGTCCTTATAAGGGCATCTGATTCCTCAATTAAAGCATTAGTCATAGCATTGCAAGCCTTCCGGTTAGGCTCAGAAATGAAGATCCACTAGAAAAAGACGGTGGGGTGGTGACTATTGGAGGAAGAGACCCCCCGATTGGATGGATCCGAGGCAGAAATGACGTGGGAGAAACTGGAAGAACCAACGAGATACTTGTGAATTATGGTTACAAAGAACGCCCCCGCCTCACAAACGGCACAAAACTTGTTCACCAATCAGATCGACAGAATGAGACTACGAGTGAACACATTCACTTCATTGCTAGGGAGAGCCCTAGCCATCAACACCTCCATCTTTTCCATAATTTGGTAGAGCTCAACACCGGCTCCCCTCACGAGTCACCACATACAATTCCCAACAATCATAATGTTGCCGATGATCTTACAGTCCTTATAAGGGCATCTGATTCCTCAGTTAAAGCATTAGTCATAGCATTGCAAGCCTTCCGGTTAGCCTCAGAAATGAAGATCCACTGGAAAAAGACGGTGGGGTGGTGACTATTGGAGGAAGAGACCCCCCGATTGGATGGATCCGAGGCAGAAATGACGTGGGAGAAACAGGAAGAACCAACGAGATACTTGGGAATTATGGTTACCAAGAACGCCCCTGCCTCACAAACGGCACAAAACTTGTTCACCAATCAGATCGACAGAATGGGACTATGAGTGAACACATTCACTTCATTGCTAGGGAGAGCCCTAGCCATCAACATGTCCATCTTTTCCATAATTTGGTAGATTGCTTCCATTCCCGACCAAACCATCAAGGTACTGAACCACAGAGCCAGAGCATACCTATGGTCAGCCTGGTCAGGAGACCCCAGCAAAACAAG